GGCTTAAAACTCAACATTCAGAAAACTGAAGATCATGGCATCTGGTCTCATCACTTCACAGCAAATAGATGGGGAAACAATGGAAACAGTGAGAGACTTTATTTTTGGGGGCTCCAAAATCACTGCAGATGGTGATTGCAGCCATGAAATTAAAAGATGCTTGCTTCTTGAAGAAAAGCTATGACCAACCTAGACAGCATACTAAAAAGCAGAGACATTACTTTGCCAACAAAGGTCCATCTAGTCAAAGCTATGGTTTTCCCAGTAGTCATGAATGGATGTCAGAGCTGGACTATAAAGAAAGCCGAGTGCCGCAGAATTGATGCTTTTGAACTGTGGTGGTGGAGAAGACTCTTGAGTGTCCCTTGGACTGCAAGGAGGTCCAACCAGTCAGTCCTAAAGGAAATCAGTCCTGAATGTTCATTGGAAAGACTGATGCTGAAGCTGAAACTCCAACACTTTGGCCACCCGATACAAAGAACTGACTCATTGGAAAAGACCCTGATGTTGGGAAAGATTGAAGGCCAGAGGATAAGGGGACAACAGCAGGTGGTGAGATGGTTGGATGGTATCACTGACTCAGTGTAATGAGTTTTAAGTAAGCTCCAGGAGTTGTTGATGGACAGGGAAGCCTGGTGTGCTGCAGTCTATGGGATCACAAAGAGTTGGACAAGACTGAGCAACCGAACTGAACTGCTATTTGTGATATCATATATTTGTCTTTCTCTGACTTATTATGATGATCTCTAGGCCCATCTGTGTGGCTGCAAAAGGCACTGTTTAATTCTTTTTGATGGCTGAGTAGTAGTCTGTTGTGTGTGTGTGTGTGTGTGTGTGTGTGTGTATTTATATATGTACCACCTATTCTTAATTTATTCCTCTGATGAACATTTAGGTTACTGCCATGTCCTGACTATCGTAAATAGTGCTGCAATGAACACTGGGGTGCATGTGTCTTTTTGAGTTATGGTTTCCTCTGGATATGCCCAGAAGTGGGATTGTTGAATCATATGTGGTACTATATTTAGTTTAAGGAACCTTTATCTGTTCTTCATAATTGCCTGTACCAATTTACATTCCCACCAACAGTATAAGAGGGTTCTCTTTTCTTCACACCCTCTCTAGCATTTATTGGTTTATAGATTTTTGACTGGTGTGAGGTATCTTTGACTGGTGTGAGGCAATACCTCACTGTAGTTTTGGTCTGCATTTCTCAGAAAATTAGTGATGTTGGGCATCTTTTCATGTGTTTTGGGGGCATCTGTACATCTTTGGAGAAATGTCTATTTAGGTTTTCTGCCCATTTATTGTTTTTTTTTTTTTTAAATTTTTTGATGAGCTATTTGTAAATTTTGGAGATCAACCCCTTGTCAGTTGCTTTGTTTGCAAATATTTTCTCCCATTCTGAGAGATGTCTTTTCATTTTGTTTATAGTTTTCTTTGCTGTGCAAAAGCTTTTAAGTTTAACTAGGTCCCGTTTATTTTTGTTTTCATTACTCTAGGTGGTGGGTCAGAAAACTTCTTGCTGTGATTTATGTCAAAGAATGTTCTTCCTAGTGTCTGACTTACATTTAGGTCTTAAACCCATTTTGAGTTTATTTTTGTGTATGGTGTTAGGGAGTATTCTCATTTCCTTCTTTTATATGCAGCTGTCCAGTTTTCCCAGCACAGATTATTGAAAAGGCTGTCTTTTCTCCATTGTATATTCTTGCTTCCTTTGTTATAGACTAGGTAACCTAGATGCATGGGTTTATCTTGGGGTTTTCTATCCTGCCAATACCATATGTTTTGATCACTGTAGCTTGCAGTACAGCCTGAAGTCAGGAAGCCTGAATCCTCCAACTCCCATTTTTCTTTCTCAAGATTGCTTTGACTATTTGGGGTCTTTTGTGTTTCCACAGAAATCATAAAAAGTTTTTGTTCTCATTCTGTGAAAAATGCCATTGTTAATTTGATAGAGATTGCATTCAACTGTAGGTTGCTTTGGATAGTATATTCATTTTCACAATATTGATTCTTCCCATCCAAGTATATGGTATATATCTCTTCATCTGTTTGTGTCATCTTTGATTTCTTTCATCAGTATCTTAGGTGGTTTTGTGAATACAGGTCTTTTACCTCCTTAGAGACTGGTTTTTTCCTAGGTATTTAATTCTTTTTGTTGCTATGGTAAATGAGATTGTTTCCTTAATTTCTCTGATATTTTTGTTGTTAATGCACAGAAATCCCTTGCATTTCTATACATTAATTTTGTAATCTGCAACTTTACCAAATTCATTGATTAGCTCTAGTAGTTTTCTGGTGGCATCCTTAGAATTTTCTATTTATATTATCATGTCATCTGCAAATAGTGACAGTTTTACTTCTTTTTCAATTTGGATCCTTTTTATTTTTTTTTTCTTCTGTGGTTGCCATGGCTAGGACTTCCAAAACTATGGTGAATAATCGTGGCAAGAGTGGACATCTTTAGTTTGTTTCTGATCTTCGAGAAAATGCTTTCAGTTTTTCACCATTGAGAGTGATTTGGTTGTGGGTTTGTCATATATGGCCTTTAATACATTGAGGTAGGTTCCCTCTATGCCCACTTTCTGCAGAGTTTTTGTCATGTATGGGTGTTGAATTTTGTCAAAAGCTTTTTCTACATCTCTTGAGATGATCATATGGTTTTTCTTTAATTTGTTAATATGGGTGTATCACACTGATTGATTCCCTTTCCTCGATTGTGGTTTCCTTTCCACAGGCTCCAGGGCTGTCCTTCATCTTGCTTCTGGTGTTTGCCTCTTGGGGGAGGAGGCTGATCTAAGGGGCTTGTGCAGGTTTTCTGGTGAGAGCGGCTGCTTCCTGCCCACTGGTGGGTGGAGCTGTGTCAAGGAGTGGGTGTTTGGAGGGGGCTATGGGCTCAGATGGGGCTGTGTTCCTATTGATTGTTTGGCCTGAGGTGTCCTAGCACTGGAGCCCACAGGCTGTTGAGTGGGGCCAGGTCAAAATGGTGACTGCTTGGGGAGCTCACACCTATGCGTACTTTCCAGGATGTCTGCCTCCAGTATCTCTGACCCCACAGTGACCTCACACCTCCCCAGAGATGCTCTGAGACCAGCAGGGAAGTCTGGCCCAGGCTCCTGTGAAGTCACTGGTTTCTCCCTGGGTTGAGAGCGTACAAGACCTGGTGTGCGTCTCCAGGAGTGGAGTTTCTGTTCCCCTCCATCCGGTGGAGTACTCTGACGCCAACCCTGCTGGCCTTCAAAGCCACATGCTGTGGGGGCTCCTCCTGACACCAGCCCCCCAGGCTGGGGAGTTGGGTGTGGGGCGCCACACTCTCACCTCTGTGGGAGAACCTCTGCGATACAGTCATCTTCCAGGTGGCGGTCTCTCACCTGGTAGGTACTGGATTTGATGTTATAGCAGCAGCTGTGTCCCTCCTCCCGTCTTATCTTGGCTGCTTCTTTGTCTTTGGATGTGGAGTGTCTCTTATTGGTAGGCTCTAGTCCTTTTTGTTGATGGCTGTTCAGCAGTTAGTTATGGTTTTGGTGTTTTTGTGAGAACAGATGAGCTGGCATCCTTCTACTCCACTAGCTTGTCCTCTTCCCCTTCATATTTGTTATTTACTCCGTAATTTGGGAGCAAATGCTATAATGAATGGCCCCAGCATCTGCCTATGCATCTTAGGACAGGCACCAGTGCCCAGCAGCCAGTAGCCTTGACCTACCAGTGTCTTGGTCAGAGGGCCCCCAGTGGATAAGGCCTCCATGCACTCAACTAACTATAATCCATGCTTCCTATGAATGAAATTCTCTGACTGGTCTAAAAACCTGTAAGCAAACTGTTTAATGGAGGGGATGTCTCAGGCCAGTCCGAGTTTTAATGAGGCTAGATAGGGCTCATGCATGTGACAAATAAACCAGCAGCTCAGCTTTCCTTGGAAAACCCAAGCAGCTTAATGTTGGCAGTTGTTACCATGGAGAGCAGGATGGAAGAGCGGAGGTGGACATATAGCATGGTCTGAAAGTTCTCCTGATCCAAATGAAGAAGGCAAATCCTTGGGCTGCACAAAACCATTGGTACCTTGGCAAACATGTTCCAGAGCCCTAAAGAAGTTTGATCTCACCACTGAAGGGGCAGAAAAGTCCCACACTAATTCATGAATCAAAATGAAATAGTCTACAAATAGACTTTGGTCTAGGAATTGTGCTTTATGACTGATTAGATAAGTTCTTAGAGGTGCAGATTTACACCCAAGATCTGAATGTGGGATCAACTCTGGGTGTAGCCCTGCACCCCATCATCATTCCTAGGAGTAGACTGGGTCTGTTAACAAATAAAAATCTAAAAATACAGTAACATTTCTCAAATAGACCAAAGAAAATGGGAATCAAGACTATTCTGCTTTTTGGAATACCTGAAAAGATGACGTTGACATTGACTGGGAATTCGGCATGGAGGACAGAAGGTCAAATGATCCCAGGCCTGTCGTTCTAAGAATTAGAGTGAAAGAAGGGCACCCCACTTAAAGGGGGCTTGAATCAGTCCTTAGAAAGGACTGGTACTTCTAATCCCCATCTTAACTCGTTATTGACCACAGACATAGTCATAGGCCTTTTGTTACACAAATGTTAGTGACCTGAGATGTGTCAGTATTCACTTAGCCAACTGCTGGCCACGGGCCTTAGTTTCTGCAAAAATCCCTCAGTCAATAATGTGTTAAGTGCTTTTAAAATGAAGCAGAGACTATTCACACTGGAAGGAAAGTAAATCCTACTGGCCAGAGCTAGGAAAGCTTGGAATTAATTTTTGGGCATACGCTTCCTGAGCTGTTTTATGCAATGGTCATGCCTTACACATATTCGGCGCCACCTGAGGCCCAGCCCAGAGATGTAGGTGACATGGCCCAGGTCCCACAGGGCTCTCCCCATGCCCGCTCTGGCTCATGAATCTGAGAGAGACACAGCCAGGGTCCCAGATAGGAACGGCCGGGAGCCATGGTCAGTCACCTCTCCACATACCTGAAGTTCCGCCATGATTTTGTCTCCCTCTTCTTCCTCCTCCTCCTCCTTTGCAGAAGCAGTGACAGGGGGTGGTGATGGGGCCCAGGCTGTCACCGGCTCCTCGGCCGGACACTTTGCGGCTCTAGCCTGTGGACTTGGTCCAGCATCTTCACTGCTTGCCTGTGGAAGATTTGAACTACAGTTACTGGCTTTTCACCCCCAGGTGCTGGCCAAAGGGGGTCAGATCATAGAAGAGCATGCACTGCCTCACTGCTAGGTGCCTCGGCTTCCTAGCTCTTCAGATCAAGCTAAAAGGCTGTTTTGTCCACTCGCATGTAGTTTGGGTTTTACCTTGCCCAAGGTGTCATTTTGGCAAATGAATTGAAGAATTAAAACTCCTTAACTTCAATGCCTTTTAAAAAGGTCCTCCTTGGAAACTGTATTTTCATTTAATATAAAAGACAAAGCTTGCCAGGTTAAGTGGAAGTGAAAGCTCTCTGAACCTCTGTTGATGCCTACAACGGTGTCAGCTAATCGCAGTTACCTTGGTAAGATGATCTTTCTTGTGCTTGCCCCTCAGGCCCTCATTTTCTGTCTTAGTGTGCTTCGCTGGGGAAGTAGCTGGTGAATTGAATTTCACATAGTTGCAGCTAAAAGTCAAGTAAGGATAGGACTCCTGGGGCTGAGTCTATTCCAATAGTATACTGACTGACATTTTCCCATCTATGGCGATTCCTTGGAGATCTAGTTCATTCTCTCCTGTTTGCTACCTTTTATGTTCTAAAGGACAGCAGAGAAGACCTTGTCTAGGGACATCATCTGAACCCATAGACCAGTTCAGCAGGGCATCACCCATCAAACCTTAGCAGTGGCACTCTCCTTCCTGCCAGTGTAGACCACGTCGCCCGACCTTGTGGTAGTGAGCCCAGATCCTGGCAGGTAGCTCCGCCGTGGAGGTGGAGGAGGAGGAGGTGGGGACCTACCCCCCGGCTTGTCCAAGTCCAGTTCTGAATTTGGAGAGTCTTCTGGAAAACAGTGTGTCATTCAAGATAACATCCAGAAAGTCCACTGTATTTCTAGAATGTCAGTGCAACCTGACTCAAAACTTCTTTCTTCTCTCCATGGTGCAACAACTAAAAATATAGGCCCTGAAGCCTGACTGGTTTGAAGTCCTAGAAGGGCCCTGAACAATTTAATTAACCTCTCTCTGCCTCAGTTTTCTCATCTGTTTAATGGGTTAACAATATTGTTTCCACTGGGTGTTGTGAAGATTAAATGGTTTGATGCACATAAAGCATTTAAAATAATGCCTGGCTTATAGCAAACGCTATGTGCAAGTATTAGTTAGTGTGACTTTTAAACAAATTTCTTACCCCAAAAAACTTTTACCTGGAGAGATGAAAGGTCAGAACCCCTTGCAGGGCCTCCAGAGCTTTCATCCCTAAGTCTGAAAAGGAGGGTTCGGAGGAAGGCTTCAGGCAGAGGAGGTGAGAGTACAATCTGGCCCAGGAAGGGCCAGAGGGAGAGTGGGAGGCAGATGGGGTCACAGGACAGAGTTGGGGAGAAAGTGCATTTTTTTGGTCGTGGTTATGTGGTTAGAAAAGCTCTCTCTGCTAATTAAAGGAAGAAGCAAATGCAGAAATGAGAGAATCAGAAAGTAGTACTGACACCAAAGGTTAGGAGATGCAGCTATCTGCTGAGCTTTCCTGCCAAAAATGCCCAGAAAAAGGCATTTCTTACTCAAAGAGCTTCACTCCTGTCCTGTATCAACATCCTTCCCTTCCTCCTTTTACCAATACTCTATCCAAGAGCTCACAAATGTGGTAAAGCCAGAAATTCAGAATCGGAGCTTCCAGCTGGCCTTTGCCCCAACTTTGGGGACTCACAGGCCTGGCCTCCCAGGAGTGTCTGTCTTTTCTGAGCAAATGACATGGAGTTGTTTAGAGGAGGTGCTTGAGGACTTTCTACTGAAAGTTTTAATAAAGGCCTGGGTAAGTCATCAGGGTGACAGGCCAGTGATTGCAGTGGACGGTTTCTGGCTTATGCAGAGGGTGCTGGGTTACAGGGTCCCGTCCCAAGGCCAACAGCCTGGCTCTGGTCTCCCTCCCATATGTAATGACAAAGGTTCTGTCTCCGACCAACTTGAAATGCACTGGGCTGCATGTAAAATAATGTCTTTGTCCATAATTTTAAGATCAGAATAACGCACATGGTTTGTAACTAGTTGAAGATTTACCAGCTTGAGTTTAACAGCTATTTTATATTATTATGGAGACACTGATGCTTAATTTCCATAGTTTGGTTGGTTAAATATACCATCTAATAATTTTGATTAAAAAAAAAAATGAATCCTCCCTGTGATCTAACATCCCTCTGGGAGCTCATAAAATCTGGTGTTTTCTAAGGAGAGCTCTCAATTTAAACACAGCTCTCCTGTTCCCCAGCTGCTGTGGCAAAGAGTCATAAATTGTAAAAAAGGCAGAAGCTACACTTTTCCTCAGTGGATACTATTCTAGAATCCTAATGCAGAACACAGCTTTCCTGCTATGGTTATAGTTCTTCACCAGTAGTAGTCAATAAAAATTAAAACAGTAGACTCTAGAGACATCTAAGGGTTTGTTGTTTTCAATTAAAAATTTTTTTTCTTGTTAAAATGGACTTTATTTTCCTCCCAGATTTGAGATATAATTGAACAAAATTATACATATGTAAAGTATGCAACCTATTGATTTGATAAGCATAAATACTGTGAAATTCTTAACACAATCATTAACACATCCATCACTTCATAGTCTGGTATGTGTGTGTGGTGAGAATGTTTAAGATCTACTCTCTCAGCAAATTTCAAGTATACATTAAATATTATTAATTATTGTCAACATGCTGTACCTGAGATACCCAGAGTGTGTTCATCTTGTAACTGAAAGCTTGCATCCATTGACCAGCGTGTCCCCCTTCTGCTAGCCTCCCTGCCCCATTAATCCCCACGTGACTCCCTGCTTCTGTGAGTTCACTTTTTTTTTTTAAGATTCCACCTATAAGTGAGGATATACAGTATTTGGTTTTCTTTGTCTGGCTTCCTTCACTTCGTATAATATGCTCCAGCTTCACCCATGTTGGAGAAGGAAACGACAACCCACTGAAGTATTCCTGCCTGGAAAAATCCCATGGATGGAGGAGCCTGGTGGGCGGCAGTTCATAGAGTCACAAAGAGTTGGACACAACTGAGTGACTTCACTTCACTTTTTGTCCATGTTGTCACAAAAGGCAGGAATATCTTATTTCTTATGGTTGAATAATGTTCGTATATATATATATATATAACACACAGTTATGCACACATATGCATGTGTATACACTATATACATATACACAGACTATATGTATAAATATGCAATAAGTATAATGTACACATGTATATATAATAGGCATATGAATATCACATCTTCGTTATCATTTTAGCTATGAACTTTTCCATATCCCTTCACAAATAATGCAGCAATGAACATGAGAGTGTTGATATCTTTTTGAGATGATTCTGTTTCCTTGGAATATATACTTGGATGTGGGATTGCTGGTTATGTGGTAGTTTTATATTTAATTTTTGGAGAAACCTTCATACCATTTTCCATAGTGGCTGTACAAATTTACATTCCCATCAACAGTGGACGATGGCACTCTTTTCTCTACATCTTTGCTAACATATGTTATCTTGATTTTTTTAATAAAAGACATCCTAACAGATGTGAAGTAATATCTCACTGTGATTCTAATTTGAAATTTCCCTGGTTATGTTGAACAAGTTTTCAAATAACTGTTGGCCATCTGTGTGTATTGGGTTTCTCAAAAAACTAAAAACAGAATTACCAGCAGTAGTATAGTACTATTGGGTATATATCCTCCCAAAACAGAAACACTAATCTGAAAAGATACGTGTACCCCAATGTTTATAGTCACATTATTTACATTTGGCACAATATAGAAGCAACCTAAGTGTCCATCAGCAGAGGAATGGATAAAGAAGGTGTGGTGTATATATTCAATAGCATACTACTCAGTCATAAAAAGAATCAAATTTTGCCATTTACAACATGGACTCTTGGAGGGTGTAAGTCAGAGAAAGACAAATACTTTATGCTATCACTTATATGTCTAATTAAAAAAATAAAGTAGTACACATATAACAAAATGAATCAGACTCACAGATACAAACTAGTGATTACCAATGAGTACAGAGGGAAGGGAGGAGGGGCAAGATAAGGGTAAGGGACGAAGAGTTATAAACTATTCTGTATAAAATAGCTACAATGATTTATGTACAAAACTGGGAATATAGCCACTATTTTATAACTATAAATGGAATATAACCCATAAAAATTGTGAACCACTATTGTGCACCCAAAACTTATAAAAGTTTTTTATTGAGGCATGGTTGAGGTACAGTATTATATAAGATCTTTAGGAAGTGAGAGCTTGATCCCCTTCGCCAGCTTGTGCCCTTGTGGGTGGTCAGCCCACACAGCTCGGATAGCACCTTACCTGAAAGTTCTACTTTGTCCACTGGAGCATCACCCTTTGGCTGGGGGCCTGAGGCTGGTGGCATCTCCAGGTTTGGAATTGACTTCATAATATTGGCCTGGGCTTCTTCTAGGAGTTTCTCAAACTCCTTCCCATTATAGTGGTCCAGATTTTGCCTTTTCTCTTCCCATTTCCTTTCTGCTTTCTGAAGGAAAACAGCAATGAAGAAAGTTCAAAAGTCAGAAGGGAACATGAATTGATAAGTCTTGAGATTTGATGCTGGGGTGGGAGAAAGGATAACTCAGTGAAAGCACTGGTCAAATGATGCTCTGGCTTCTGTGTCCAGGGACACGTCTGCACATCAGACAAACCTGACCCTTATGCTGTCTGCTACATCTTAAACAGGCTGCCACAGACGCCCAAGTGATGTTCATTCACTAAATTATTACTGAGCACTTACTACATACTCTCCCAGCATTCATGAGAGGGACACAGAGATACACATTCAAAGGCATGTAGCCCGTAACTTTCTTTTTTTCTACACTGAGCTTTCATCATAGAGGAAATGTTCAAAGAAACAAAACAGCAGAACACTCACTAATCCTATGTCTTAGTTCTGCTGCTGTCAAAAGAACTGCCGTATGACCTTCTGGGTCACATTTTACTATTTACCAAATGAAGGGGGTATTGAGATAATCTCTAAGCTCCATTAAGTTCTACAGTCTCTACACAGAAATACATACATTTTAAAATAATTTTAAAATATCTGTACATTTTTTGAAAGAACATTTTCCTGTGATTTTGACATGTTACATTATCATTTCAAAAAAGAGTGGAAATGAGTACCAGGATCAGTGGAACCCTATACTGTGAGAATAAGAAAAGACCCAGGAGATCACGGAATCAATGTATTTTACAGTGAGAACATGGGGGCCCGGCGAGATGAAGGATTTGCCCAAGATTCATTCTCTAGGAGTAACAGCCAGCACTGTCACCATCCTGAGCCTCCTGTTTTTTCCTTCCTAGCATTTATCATCACCAGAGCCTGGTCCCTTCTGTTCACTGCCTACCCCACAACCTATGAAGGCCTGGCACTCACTCAGGCCCAGTAACATCTTTTGAGTCAATCAAGCTCAAAGGCAGAGCCAGTAGGAAGACTCGGGCCTCCTTACCAGGATCAGAGCATTTCAGAGGTGACCTGTGAATGTGCTGTTGAAATTTAAAATACACACATAACAATGGTAATTATGCCTAGTAGATTCTCAATAGACATTTTTAAATAAAAGAATCATCCTACTGACCTCTTTGCAATGCAGAGATGTTTAATGTGGCAGCTCCACTAACTTTCAGGAGCAAGATGTGCTTGCAGCCTCCTCCCCACCCTGATAGGCAGAATCATCATCAATCACATTTCACCCCATCTTACAATATGCATTTTATAAGCAGCTAATTTAGTTTAGGGGGCACAGCCTCTGAGTCTGGAGCAGAGGGGAGCTGCCTCGTGTTCAGAGGCCCAGTGTCCAGGACTGTGACCTTCGTGGTTTTAAGTTGTCACCTCTTGAAATAAGTTATCCACTGCTGACTTGCAAGAGAGGCAGGACTGGGGACCGAGGACACAGTCTTGAGTGGAGGAAACTTTAGAGAAGGGGAAGGAGAGACCCAGGGGAATGCAGTGTGCTGCACGAACACTGACTCCAGCTCCTGCTGAAAAGAATATTTTAAAAACACAGCAGGTTCTCTCTATACCCTGTGACTTTGAGACCTCCCTCTCTTGTCTCCTCAGACTTTGGTAACAACTTCCCATTCAGCATCCTTTATTTGAGACCCACCACCTAAATCAGTTCTGCATACTGTTTCCACATGAATTTTCTGAAGACACCACGTTTTATCACTGGTCCAAGCAGCAGCATTTCTCTGATATCCATGGAATAAAACCGTAGTCATCTGATACCGGGGAGTAATCTCTCCCAAGTCAGCCTCCAGCCCCTTTGGCCAGCCGTTTTTCCTCCTCTTCCCAGTAAACAGGTGTACTCAAGGCCCGACCTTCTCCATCTGAGAATGCCCTCATCAGCCTTCTCTGCTTACCCAGACTCTACTTCATTTTCCAGGTCACTGGTGAACCCTGCATTCACCAGTGGTGTGTGAGCCAGCTCACACTGGCTCAGGGGGGCTGACTTCACCTTTCCTCCCAGAGTCATGTTCAGTGAGGTCACACTGTTACTTTACTCAAAATCAGTAATGGCTGATTAAGTCTCCACCACAGAAACTGGCAAATGCTACAAATGAGGCTTCTCCCCATTGTTAAACACTGTTACCACTGTCTCACCTTCCTACAGGTCGGGTGCCTGATTCTTCTCTGAAATCTGATGGCCTCTTAGTCTGGCCATTGAAACAAAAAAAATCTTATCATATACGTATATAAAATAGAAAGCTATATTTTTATGGAAAAAAAAATCAAAAATCTATTTTCTGATAAAAATATAAAGTTATATACATCTTTGATACATATATCCACTGTCTCCACAACTAGACTGTCAATTCTTGGTGGGAAAGGACCCCATCCTTCCCCATTCACATAATTAGGAGAAATGGAAGGAGGACCTACCTCGATAGACACCGCCCTGCTCCTGGCGCTAACACTGTGGATTTCCTCGATGAACAGGCTCTGCACGGAGGAGCCGTCCCCGGGCATCTGCGGGGACGGCAGAGCGGAGGGGACCTCCTGCGTGGCGGCAGCGGCGCTGGCGGGGTGAGGGCCCGGGCCCCCGGGCGCGTGCTGGGCGGGGTTCAGCAGCGCGGAGGAGAGCTGCGACGGCTGGATGACCACGGGAGAGCTCTGCGCGTGGTGGACGGTCAGGGGCACCACCTCCGCCTTCACGTCGCCGGGGACGCCCGCGCCGGGGAGGGGCTGGCCCGACGTGTGGGGGGCCTCCTCCTGGGCCTTCAGGACCTCGGCGGCCGTGGCCTTCTCCATAGCCACGTACTGCGCGGCCTGGGCTGCATCCGAGCCTTTCAAGAGCCCGTCAGTGACGTGCCTGGGAAGAGACCACACAGCAGCAACCAGTGAGCCCGGTAACGCGCGTTTTCATTGCGCGGTATTTACTTGTGCTGTGTCATCTGCAGCCCAGGCAAGATTTTTGTTGCAGAAATTAAGACATGCTAAAACCCCGAGTAGCAGCTTAGAGTTGAGGGTTTCCATAGCAACATAACTGCCTCCTAGTGATCTTTAGCAGCGGCTTTCCTCTTCTTCCTCAGGAGGTGGTCCACCCGTACTGCTGTGTCCACTGTTGGGGTGGTGGTGTCCTAGAGTGGACACATGATTCTAACCACACTACCTGCACCTGTTCCAGGCCTGGGCAGCTCGCAGATGCTCGGTTGTGACCCAAAGCTTCCTTAACGCTCCACTCTCCTGCTTTCACGGCTGCACATCTTGGGAGGGTGGTTTACATGCCAGTTCCTTTTACTTAATCTTCCTACAGCTCAGCCATCTGGCCACCCCACCTGGACCTGACTATTCTTTTTGCAACATCGAGAGTGACTGTGAATCTGACTGCCCGGTTAGTCCTCATCCTCCTCTGCTTTGTGGGGGTTGGGGGGAAAGGCAGTCATCTGATGCTCTGTCCAGCTCCACCCACACTATGGTGGGAAAGACATGACCTTCAGGGTCAGACAGGCTTGTGTTCGGCTATCAGCTACCATGTTCTAGCTCTGTAATGCTGGCAACTTCACCGCTGTGGGCCTCAGGTACTTTTCTGTGGATTATAGTGAAGATGATGATGGTCTAATTCCTTCCTCTGGGCTGGTGGCTACAATCAGCATAGTCAAATGAAAGACACTGTCAAATGTGATACTCAACCCATAATTTTTAATTAGCCCCGCAGTCTCTTCTTACCAAAATGTGTTTTTCTTTTGCTCTGAAAACAAGATACTGCTCCTACAGCTCCCCTCTGCTGCTCACTTCTTTGTCTGGTTCCTTCAATCTCAAATCCCCAAGGGTCTGTTTCCTCCTTTCCTTCTCCTGTCAGAGCTACCTCTTCCATCTTCGGTAATCACCTACATGAAGGCAACTTTCAGCTCTAAACCTCTTTCCCCCGCCCTCTGAGTGAGGCAAGGACTCCTTCTAACTGTCTCTTGAACTTCAGTCTGCATTTCTAAGGGCTTCCTGGGCAACTCTGCTCTGCTATCCTTCCAGCACCTCAAACTCAAGACACAGAGAACCCCTCCAGCATCTTCCCAACCCGCGCAAGTTGCTCTGAGCCATGACTTGTCACCCCCTCTGTCTCTGTCGGGCGCCAGGACATGTGCCCGTCCCTGGGGGCGTGTGTATTCCTACCTTCCTTCTTGTGTCTTCCACAGCACTGAGTACAGCACGTTAGAAAGATCCCAAGGAATAATTAAATAATATAAAGACTTGTGATGGGCAGCTTAATGGAGGCTATATTTATTTTGTTTTTAAAGTAACTTAACTGTCTTTATCTATATCATTTTTTAAAATCGTTTTTCAGGGAAGAGAGGGAGGGTGGGCACTGTTACCAGCCAGCCTGCTATCTGTGTAAACACTTAATAAGGAAGGTTTGATTTAGGCAAGAGTTTAATGAAGAATCCTTTTAACATATTTTTATCCTACTGGAAGAAAAAGTTCACTCTGGCAATTTACAGTAGTGAGCCTATGAGAAAATGTAATTCAAGTACAATTTCTTCCTGTACCCAGGCAGATGTCTTCTCTGCAGGAAGAGGCAAGAGTTGCCTTAAATCAGATTTTTGCTGGCCTCCTGAAACTTATGCAGGAGATTATAGAGCTCTCTGTAGCATCAGCATCTCAAAAGAGGCTCTTTCCTTGAGGTCACTATTACTAGAAAAATCTCAGTTGCTCCTTACGGTTAATAATTCATCTAAAAGTCAACTGCACTTTTAACATATTTCTCCTGCAAACCTATCAAAAGATGATAGTGATTAAAATTCTCCCAAGAATTTAGATGTTACCTATGCTTGTGACCGGTTCTCAAGTCTGGTTTAAGATCTAAAGGGTAGCATCTCTGTAATTTTCCTAGTTCTGTTTTTTTAAAAAAAGGAAAATTCAGGACTGATGCAGTTGGGAGGTGGTTTATGTGGTAGCTGTGTCTATTTCCCATGTGGGAAAGGAAGTTTTATAAGGGCAAGGGTTCTGCCTGGTTTATTCTTATACTCTTGACACCCAACACGAGGACTGGAACAGATAAGAACGTCCAAATATGACTGACTGCCTGGCCAAGAGATCAGAACCAACAAGTCTGGTGTCAGACTCTCAGGTCCCACCCAGCCCCGGCCCCCCTGGTCACCTCCGCAGCATGGTCAGGGTGTCGGTCAGGCCGCGTACTCTCTGCAGGAGACTGTCCAGCCTGTGCGGCTCCTCCTTCAGGAAGCGCACCGCCTCCACTTCTATGCGCAGGATGGCTCGCATCTTATTTTGTAAGGTTGGAAATTCTCCTGCAGACCAAGAACAGTGAGTGAGCCGCAGGAGCAAAGGCAAGACTACCAGGCCCCACCTCAGACCCCAACATTGGACACGGTTGGGAAGTGTGGGGGTTCAGGAGGTAGAGTGGGTTCAACATGACCTGGGCGGAGGGCGCAGCCCCTCGAGGTCTCATTTCCCGTCTCTGTGTGTGGGGTGGTCCACTGGGCCCTGAGTTGTATTCAGTGAATTTGGCAGAGGTGCCCTGGTGCATTGTAAGAGCCCAGAGAAGGGAGAGGGTTATTAGAATCATTTATTCCTAAATATTACAGCAGCCAGTAAAATATTAATACCAGCTCCCAGCAGAGAGAGGCGCTTCTTCTGCTGTTCAGGGATGCATCCTGAGCGCCCAGAACAGTGCACAGTGGGTGCTGGACAAACACCTGCCCACTTGCACGGAAGAATCCTTCACCGTTGGACGGGCTGTTGGGATTCCCCTCCCCTCCAAGGAGGATGCTCACCTTTCAGGGAAGCGACGGCCTCTCCCACCTGGCGCAGCAGGAAAGCCCCATCCTCCACGTCTTTCAGAGTCACCACACGGCTGGCCGAGGTGGAGTCCTTCTTCAGATCGTCAACGAAGTCTTCCAGGTCACTAGGGGGAAAGCCGACCACAGGTGGAGTGAGCGCGGGGGCCTTCCCTACAGACAGTGGAGAGCAGAGGACCCCGGGCCTCACCGGCTGGCCTCCCCCCAGTACCGCGGGTCCCTCCATGCCCACGGAGGTGGGAGCAGCAGCTGGGGAGGAGTAGCTTGGTTTGGCTTAAGAGACCCTTCTGGGGTGTGAGGTGAGGTTTCTCGGGGAGGCCCGGATCCGCCACCTGGCTGACAAAGGACCCACTCTTTGTTTTCAGCGGCGCTGATGCCAACTAAGGGAGGGCTGCGTGGACGCTGATGTGACAAGAGGACAAAGAGGGGGAGAGACGGCAAGAGGAGGAGCCCAGGTGCTGCAGATCAGGCTTTTCTACCTTGGCGCTGACCTCTGTGGCCAGGTCATTCTTTTCTGTGGGGGGATGAGGGGTGTCCTGTGCGCTGTAGGATATATTTAGCAGCACCCCTGACCTTGACATAGTAGCCTCCAGGAGCAGCAGCAGCTCTAAGCTGACAAAAGTGGACAAATTCTTAGAAAGGTACTACCTCCCAAGACTGAACCAGGAGGAAACAGAAAGAAAATGAACAAATCAGTCATAAGTACTGAAGTTCAAACTGTGGTTAAAAAACTTTCAAAAGTCTCTAGGTCCATCGACATCTCTACAAATGACCCAATTTTGTTCCTTTATAAGTCTAATAGTCTATTGTTGATATACCGTATCTTCTTCATCCATTCCTATGATGATGACTGTCGTAAAGAATGAAGTAAAAGAGAAAAATATATAACACATATATATGGAATCTAGAAAAATGGTACAGATGATCTTATCTGCAAAACAGAAATGGATACACAAACATAGAAAAGAAATGTATAGACACCAAAGGGGGCAGGGGTGGTGGGATGAGCTGGGCGATTGAGATGGCCGTGATATACATACACACTATGGATACTGTGTGTACATAGATAAGTAATGAGACACTACTGTGCTCTGGTGACCTGATGGGGAGGGAACCTAAAATCCCAAGGAGGGATATGTACACATACAGCTGATTCACAGTGCTTACAGGAGAAACTAACAACACTGTAAATCAACTATACGTCAATAAAAATTAATTAAAAAGAAAAAACTTCCAACAAACAAAAGTCTAGGACCAGATGGCTTTGTTGGCAAATTCTATCAAACATTAGAGAAGAGACAGCAGCTATCCTTTTCTCAAACTATTCCAAAAAATTGCAGAGGAAGGAACACTCCCAAACTCATTCTCTGAGGCCACCAGCACCATGATACCAAACCAGACAAAGATGCCCCAAGAAAAAGAAAATTACAGGCCAGTATAATTGATGAACACAGATACAAAAAAAAAAAAAAAAAGCATCAATAAAATACTAGCAAACGAAATCCAACAGTACATTAAAAGGATCATACACCATGATCAAGAGGGATTTATCCTGAGGATGCAAGGATTCTCCAGTATCCGCAAATCAATCAGTGTGATACACCACATCAACAAAATGAAGAATAAAACCATATAATCATCTCAATAGGTGCAGAAAAAGCTTTTGACAAAATCCAACACCCATTTATGATAGATGACAGTAGCAACCTCCTCTAACTTGACACAAGAATGTTCCACAGACATTGTTGAAATGTCCCCAGGGGTCACGAGGGGAACAGACTTGCCCCTGAGAACCTCTGGTTTATACTGACTGTCCCATCAGTAAGGACTGTGTGTCCTCTCCAGGATGCAAAGAGAATGATCGATCACAGGTCTGATTTCTGGAGGGGGTGCATGTGCACACACGTACTCACCTCTGAGGGTACGTCTCCCACTTCAACAAACACACCAGTAATAACATCCTGTCTCCTGAGAACATCAACAACCCCACCCTAAACAGATGTGTGCATGATTTCATTTTGCCTGCTGATCTGACAGTAGAAACCCCCACTATTAAAGAAACAGGAAAAGAGCTTTGATTTGAAGAACCACTAGGTGGCAGTAAGCGGACAGCGATTCCAGCGCCAGAACCTTGAGTGTGGGGCAGGCAGCAAGTCGACAGACTTCTAGTTACAAGGACTAGGCGTGTAATCAACAACACGATAAATATAATTAACATTGCTATATGTTACTTATGAAATTTGTTAGGAGAGTAAATCCTAAGAGTTGTCATCAGAAGGAAAAAAGTTTTTTCTATTTCTTTAATTTTGTATCTATAGGAGATGGTAGATATTCACTAAACTTACTGTGGCAATAATTTCATGATGTGTGGAAGTCAAGTCATTATGCTGTCCACCTTAAACTATATGGGGCTGCATGTCAATTACATCTCAATAAAACTGGAAGAAAATTTTAACTGGCAATTCTATAAAAACATTAAAAGGCTATATACTTTTTAAAAAGAACTTTTCAAGAAGAACCTTGAGACCTAATTGTAGACAGTCAGGCTGTCATAGACCCATCTCAGACAAATAACAGCCTTAACACCTCATGGTGGGTGATTGTCTATAAGTGCATGGACTAAATATAAATTTGGAGCCTGTTTTTGAGATGCTGATGAACAGTGGTCAAATTTATTATCTGACTCTCTAGACTGCCACTGTATTCTAATTTTAATCAGGCACACTGGGTTGGCATCTGATTTGACATAAGCTCCAGCTCAAATATCAAAGAGGTCAATGAGCATAACACTCCCCATCCTGTAGGCTTCTGGTGAGTATAGTCATGGAAAGAATTTGAAAGTTGCTCCCTTACAGTCCCATTTTGGGACGTTTCCACTTTCCAAAAAAACAAGAGAATTTACACATCTACAATGGAATACTACTCAGCCACAAAAAAGAAAGGAATTTTGCCATTTGCAGCATTTACATGGATGGGTGTGGTGGGCATTATGCTAAGTACAACAAGTCAGAGAGAGAAAAATACTGTAAGCTTATCACTTATATGTGAAACCTAAAAAATTCAAAAACTAGTGAATATAACAAAAAAACAATGGACTCACGGATACAGAGAACAAACCGGTGCTTACCAGTGGGGGCAGCGAAGGGGAATATAGTGGAAGAGCAGGAGGTTCAAACTATTTAAGTGTAAGCCAGGCTACAGGATATACTGTACAACATGGGAAATATAGTCAATATTTTGTAATAACTATAAATGGAGCAAAACCTTTAAAAATTAAAATATTTTAAAGTATTTTAAATATTTAATACTTTAAGTACTTTAAATACTTAAAGTATTAAAAAATAATTTAAAAAAAATTAAAATGGCTTTGTGAAACTCAAAAAAAAAACAAACAGGAGAACTACCAACACTAGAAGAACCCACACAAATGACTATTCATTATACTAAAAGGTGAAACTGTTCTATGATAAATCTTCACTGCATAACAAAACATACATTAACATAACAGATGGGCCTGCCCCAGTGACTGGGGCGTAATAAAACTCCGCTTATTTCAGTAGTGTGACTTGATAGATGCTTTCAATAAGAACCTCACAGAAGATGGGTAGCATTCAAGGCAGCATCTTTCATTGTGCATCAGACATATTTTACACTGAAATTCTTCTTTTGTGATTTTAACTACAGCTGAATAATAGGCGGATAATTTTAGTGCTGTGTTATTTTGGCTATTAGTTTTAATTTATTGAGATTAAATTCAGACTTCCCATTTATCATTGGGTTGTGCCACGGCTCCTTTTAATTCAATGGGTTGTCAAGCCCTACAGAACAGTGTGATGCTTCCAAAGAGACTAATAAGCTCAGTCACCTGAGGATTGTTCAATTTCCTGAGCTCGGATGGAGGGCACGAGCCGAGTGTCCACAGATATGCAGAACTCTAATGTGCACACTAGGTGCTCAGCAAAGAAAGAGGATGAGAACACCATCTAGGAAGGCCTCCTTGGCCAAGACAGGCTTGCCTTTCAGGCTGAACAGCTATGCACGCAACCAGGGACTGACTGCAAGGGCCCGGACTCACCACAGCTTCCGGACAATCTTCTCCTCTTCGTGCAGGTACTTCTGCCTCTCCTGCTCCACCAGGACCCGCTGGCGCTGCACGGGGTCCTCCAGTCTCTTCATTGTCTCGATCACCTTGCTGCTGATTTCCTGTTCAGCCTTCCTCATCATTGCCTTCAGCAGCTCCTGGTTCTGCAGCTGTTGGACAAAAGAGATCACCCTCCATCAACTCTTGCCGGGCTGATAGGAGGGTGCCAGGGCGCCTGGCAGCCCCCAGGTGTAGGTCTGGATAAACAGCCCCATAGCTGAGTCTTTCTTTATTTCACTGTAAAAGGGAAGGGAGCACAGACTGTATGTAATATTGCTGCTTCAGCCAGCATCCAAGTTTGAGTAGCCAGCTGACAAGCACACTTTCACATCCCTGTCTGCAAAAAGCAGTCCTTCCTGAATGCTGGAGAGACATACAGACAATGGGCGTGAAATCTCACATGTTTTCATAGCGAGAGCCAAGAGTACCAGCTCTGGAGCCAAGTGGACTTACAATCAAACCCTAAACCTACTCCCAGATGCAGTGAGAGACTCTGGGCACTCTCCTTATCTCTAAAAATGGAGGCGTTCATCTCCCTTGCCTCTTCTGCTCTGAAAATTAAATGAGAGACTGTTTGGTATAGAAATGTTCGTTTGACTGTGGACTATTTCAGCCCATCAATTAAAGGAATATCTGTGTCCCTCTTATTAATGGGTCCATGGACCAAATACCACGTAATTACAGACCATCACAACATAGTACTTGAGAGGGTGGGGAAGGGAAGGCCTGGGATTTGGGATTAGCAGATGTAAGCTATTATATATAGGAAGGATAAACAACAAGGTCCTACTGTATAGCATAGGGCACTATATTCAATATCCTGTAATAAACCACAATGGAAAAGAATATATAAAAAAGAATGTCTGATTGTATATAACTGAGTTGCTCTGCTTTGCAACAGAGATCGGCACAACACTGTAAATCAACTATAGTTCATTAAAAAAGACAAAAAACCTCAAAACACAGTACTTGCTGTCAGTGGTGGCAATGTTATTTGCAGACGAACCCTAAGGCTTTTGGCAATTAACTGATCTCCCTGGATTATACGTAGGCTGCTTACATACTTAAGACCACAATTTCCACATAATTTTCCCAGGTGGTTTCCAGAGTACTCTTGTTTCTCACCCCAAAGTATAGGATGTGTGAGTATCAATCCAGGCTTTACAAATATCTAGCCAAACATTTGAATCCTGTTTCCAAGAAGGTGTTACGTGGCTCCCTGGGGCAGGACAGTTTTCTGACAGCACATACATAAAGTGAGCTCATTCAATCATCCTGAAAAGCAGTAACTCTATCATACCTATTATATCTGAAGTTCCCCTAAAATTTCAATTAGCTGTTACTGTTTCCTTCGTTTTGTGGTTTCGTAGACTGTGTATCACCTCACAGGAGGGATGACGCTCTACCAGCTGTCCATCATCCGTGCAAACAGAGAGGAAATGCCATCTGACTGTGTCACCACCTGCCTGAAACCTCATCATGGCTTCCATTTTTCTCTGAATAAAAATAAACCATTTCTGGGACTTCCCTGATGGCCCAGTGGTTAAGACTCCGCCTTCCAATGCAGGGGATGCAGGTTCCATCCCTGGTCGGGGAACTAAGATCCCACATGCCTCACAGCCAAAACACCAAAACATAAAACAGAAGCAATGTTGTAACAATTCAATAAAGACTTTTAAAATGGTCCACAGTAAAAAACAAAACAAAACAAAATTCAACATGGACCAGCCCTACAAAACCACCATCATGTTTGAACATCACCATCATCAACTGTCCATCCAGAGAATGATAGCTTGAGTTTACTTCCCAGTCTTCCTAAGTAGTTCCCAGCCTTCCTAATTAGCTCCCAGTCTTCCGAATTAGTAGCCATGCAATTGTGGGCAAGTTATTAATCTCTCCATGTCTCTCCAAAACAAACAGAAAGGGACAGTAGTAGTTCGTATCTCACGGAGGCGTAATGGAGCTTCGTGAGGCAATCAAGTGCTCACAGTCGTGCCTGGCACAAACCGAGCTCTCAGTGTAGATGAGCTGTTGTTATCACGGAGGATAACTGTGGGGGCAAGACCTGTGGTTTTGTCTGGGAGGGAGCCAGATAAAAATGTGCCACCCTTGGGTTACCTCCTCTGAATGAGTCATGATCATGCTTTCACACTCTCCTCGCTAATGCTGTCTTTTTATTGAGGTCTTACCGACACTCAGTCTGTTGCTGAAAGGCAACACGTCTGGAGACAGTGCGCGGACGACAGCTTCCTGCCATGCCCTCTGCAGCTATGGCTCTGCCCGCAAGGCGTGGGGAGGTCTGGCCCTTGCCCATATCACCAGCCTCCTCGCACCGCAGGCAGCTGGCGCTCTCTCTGCTCTAGCCACAGGGCCATCCTCTCTGTTCTTCTGACAGCCCGACCCCCTTCCTTTCTGCCACAGGGACTTTGCATGATACTCCCTCCTCCTGGTTAATTTCTGCCCTCCACAGAGTCTCCAGGACACCGTGCCTGGTACATAGCAGGCACTCAAATATGGGGTGAGCCACAAAGTTCATTCAGGTTTTTACACCAAATGTTACAGAAGAACACAGACGAACTTTTTGGCCAATCCAGTATTTGTTGAATGTGTGAACTGAATTGGTAATAACAGACAATGGAAAATCCACCATTATTTGCCAGATGGTAGAAATGTGAGGTGACCTATGGCTCAGCTATGCCTTGAACTCAGTGCTAATGCCCAGTTACTAAATAGACATAATAAACCAGCTGTTATCAAAATGGCACGCTCAAACTCAAGGCCATGTGTCAAATCCTATAGACCTATTCCCTTTGGGGGTTGAGGGTGAGTGGTAATGGGTACATAAGGGACAAATAAGATGACTAAATGCGTCTGAAAGTGATGGATACCTAGTCCGTCCCCGAGAGATCCAGATTTAACTGGTCTGAGGTGCAGCGTGGGCGCCGGGAATTTTAAAAACCCTCAAGGCCTTCCCTGGTGGTCCAGTAGCTAAGACACTGGGCTGCCAATGCAGGGGTCCCAGGTTCAACCCCTGGTCAGGGAGCTAGATCCCACAGGCCACAACTAAAAGTCTGCATGCCCCAACTAAAGATCCCTCATGCTGCAGCTAAGACCTGGTGCAGCCAAATAAATAAATAAGAAATGGAAGATATAAATGTATTTAGAACCATCTGAGGTTTTTTTTTTTTTTTTAAATGTGCCACCACAGTCTGAGCACTGTGGTCTAAGAACACTTTGATGGACAGATGACATCACTGTGCTGTGAGCTGAGTGGCACGGCTCTCCCTAACTCTTCTGCCCAAATCTCATAGACAAGCTCCAATAAAATTATGGTCCAATCATCAGTGGATATTGTTGGCTATGAAGCCAGAAATTACTGCTAGAATATTTCAAATCCTTAAAATTGAAATTCCAAAGATGGAGAAGTGAAGCCCTGAGAAGTGAGGGGACCTGTTCAGAGTCAAATTCAACCCAGTAATTTTCCGATCACCGTCTACTAGACAGCACCAGACAGCACACAAGCAGCTTCTGGCACACAGCAGATGAACCCAACACATGTTCAATGCTTGCATGACAATACAGTTGACCCTTGAACAACACAGGGGTGGCGGTGCCTGCCCTCTGTGCAAAAATCCAGGTATAGGGACCTCCCTCCCTGCTGGTCCAGGGGCTAGGACGCCATGCTCCCAATGCAGGGGGTCTGGGTTCGATCCCTCGTCAGGGAACTGGATCCCTTCATGCTGCAACTTCAGAGTTCACATGCCAGGACTAAAGATCCCACGTGCCACAGCTAAGACCCAGTGCAGCCAGATAAATACATATTTTAAACAATCCGAGTATATCTTCAGATTTAATCAACCTCAAATGCCAAGATTTCCTGGGTGGCTCGGTGGTAAAGAATCTGCCTGCCAATGCAGGACACACAGGTTCGATCCCTGGGTTGGGAAGATCCCCTGGAATAGGAAATGGCAACCCCCTCCGCGAATCTGCCTGCCAATGCAGGACACGCAGGTTCGATCCCTGGGTTGGGAAGATCCCCTGGAATAGGAAATGGCAACCCCCTTCAGTATTCTTGCCTGAAAAATCCCACAGACAGAGGAGCCTAGCGGGCTACAGTCCCTGGGGTTGCAAAGAGTTGGACACAACCGAGCAACTCAGCACACACTGTGAAAACCTATAGACATTATCATAGGAACACAACTGCCTGTGATATTCAAATTACTCAACTGGTAACAGAGTCAGGGAGAGACTCTCAAATTATTCTATTTAAAGTGGAGGCAGGGAGAGAGGCCTTGAGTTCCAGGCTGTATGACTCTCCCACCCAGAAAGAGTGCCTTAACCCAGACAGAGGGAGAAGAAACACTGAATTCCTATAGCACATTGGCTGGTGCACGGGCAACAGTAAGTAAAATCACAAAGGAATAAAGACACGCATAGGTTCTGTTTCTACTTTTCCTGGGCCCCCGACCCTCCCTGTCTGGAGTTCTTCCCACTGTCTCTAGGACTTGCTCCCAGTGTGCGCAGAAAGCAGGGCCAGTGCTGACTGCTACTATATATAAAACAGACAACCAGTGAGAACCTGGGCAGCACAGGGAGCCCTCCTCCGTGCTCTGAGGGGACCTGAGTGGGAAGAGAATCTAAGAGAGGGGATGTATGCATACGTATAGCAGACTCACTGCTGGACAGGGGAAACTAACAACGTTGTAAAGCAATTGTGCTCCAATAAAAATTAATTAAAAAACAGTGCTGAAGGCAGGATGTGTGTCAACATCTCTCTAAAGATGCTTCAGATAAATTAGCCACCAGCACTTCAAATCATTACATTTCGTTTTTTCTCAGCAGGGATTCTAAATTTCAATTTAAAAGAAATGTATTAAGATATAGCTTAGGACTTCCCTGGTGGTCCAGTGGCTAAGACTCCACACTCCCAAGGCAAGGGGCCTGGGTTCAGTCCCTGGTCAGGGAACTAGATCCCACATGCTGCAACTAAAGGTCCTGAGTGCTGCAGCTAAGACCTGGTGCAGTCAAATAATTTTTTTTAAAAAAGATATGGTTTAGAAGCTATAAAATTACCCATTTTAATAGTGCACAGGTCAATGAGTTTTGACAA